GAGTGCAGTGATGAAATCATGGCTCATTGCAGGCTCAACCTCCTGGGTTCAAGCGATTCTTCCACCTCAGACTCCCAGGTAGCTGGGACTATAGGCATGCACCACCATGCCTAGCTAATTTTTATATTTTTTGTAGTGATGGGGTCTCATCATGTTTCCCAAGCTAGCCTTGAATTCCTGAGCTCGTGATCTACCTGCCACCACCTCTTAAAGTTCTGAGATTACAGGTATGAGCTGCTGTACCCAGCTTATTACATCTCTTTTCAATTAATAACAATTTCTTTATACAGACAGGATCTCACTGTGTTGCCCAGTCTGGGGTTTAGTGGCACTATCACAGCTCACTGTGGCCTGAACTCCTGGGCTCGAGTGATCCTCCTGCCTCAGCCTCCAGAGTAGTTAGCACTATAGGCATGCCCCATCACATCCAGCTAATTTATAATTCTGGTAGAGGCAGGAGTCTCCCTATGTTGCCCAGGCTGGTCTCAAACTCTTGGCTTCAAGCAATCCTCCTGCCTCAGCCTCCCAAAGAGCTGAGATTACAGGTATGAGCCACCACGCCAGCTTCTGTGACTTTAAAAAAATTTTTTTAGACAGGGTCTTGCTGTCACTTGGACTTAAGTGCTGTGGTGCAATCACAGCTCACTGCAGCCTCAACCGCCTCGGCTCAGGCAATTAATTCTCACTTTGGCCTCCCCAGTATCTGGGACACAGGCACATACCACCACACTTGGCTAATCTGTTTTTTATAGAGATGGTTTTTTCCAGGCTGGTGTGGAACTCCTGGGCTCCCAAAGTGCTCCAACCGCAGGCGTGAGGGCCTTCCCTGATATCTTAACCTCCTCTCCCAGAGGAAACATCAGCCAGTATTCTTCCAGTTTTTACTGCAGTCCTCCCATCCCACCCCACACCTGCAGGCTTTCCAAGTACCAGAGCAAAGGCCCAGAGTCTGTGTCCCATCTTCCTGGGGACATTCAAACCCTAGTCCCTAGCCTGAGGCCCATCTGTACCCAGACCTAATGTCTTGGAGGCACTGTGACTTTAATACCCACTTATATTCTGGATGAATTCTGCCTTCCTTTTTGCCACCTAGGGATTTCCAATTCTCTCTTTGATATAGGCTATTTACTTGAAAGTAAATGATGCTGCTTTGGTCAGCACCCCCATTCATTTGTAGTAAGAGGTGGGTACCTACCTGAGTTAACTCAGTCAACCATGTTGATTGGAAATTTGCATGTTTCCTAGGGATTTTTTTTTTAAACAACAGTTGGAATTATCCCACATATACAATTTTGTTTCTCACTTTTCTAATTAACAACAACATAAATTTCCCCATGGGCTTGTGTCTTACCTCTCAATCCCCAGTGTTTAGCACAGGACCAGGCTCAGGGGCACTTACAAATGTTTGTTGAATCCAAGAACATCCTATGTTACAGAAATGAACTCTGGAAAGACCAGTCAGCATGGGTTGGTGACGAATGCCCATGAGTGAGGAACAGAATGAGGTATACATCAGATTTGAAGAGTTGAGGGTTTTGGAGGCTTCTTTGCAGGAAGTTCACCATGGAGCTCTTGGAACTGTTCAACACACAGAAGCAAGGTCTTCTCCTTCCAGGTATGGCTAGAAATATTTATCAATTTAGCCGAGACTCTGATTCCTGGCATGGGATCAGGAAGCCAGCCTCAGCTGCTGTTGTTTTTTCCCTTCTCATTACAGGAGTCAAGAAAAAAACTGTCAAAGCAGATGACGCAACAGTGAAGCTGACTCAGAAATATTCAATCCCCTCAGGAACTTCTCCAAGAAATGGACTGACCATCCTATAAGCTTCCATCTGGAGGTACCTGGGGAAGGGCTTCTTACATTGAGGCCAATAAGAATCCCTGGTGGGTCAGGTGTGGTGGCTCATGCCTGTAATCTCAGGACTTTGGGAGGCCAAGGTGGGCAGATTGCTTGAGCTCAGGAGTTCAAGACCAGTCTGGGCAACCTGGCAAAACCTCATCTCTACAAAAAAACATATAAAAATTAGCCAGGCATGATGGCACATGCCTGCAATCTCTGGAAGGCTGAGGTGGGACGATCACCTAAGCCTGGGAGGTTGAGGCTGCAGTGAGCCATGATGGCACTATGCACTCCAGCCTTGGTGACAGAGCAAGATCTGTCTCAAAAAACAAAACGAAAAACCTCTAGTGATTATAGCCACAGGGAGACAAATCCAGTTTGTAATTTGCTACAGTACAAGGCAATGATGGTCTTCAAGCAATCAGAAACTTGACTTGTACCTGTTGAAAACCTGTCATATGTAATGCTTGGATATTTTTTCTTCCAGTAAAGACATTTTACTGCCATCTGCTGGTCAAGTGTCAGAAATTTTCCAAATACAAACATGTATGGCCTCCCTATAATCCAGCACCCTTTTGCTGCACATAGTCTGCACAACTGTACAATGCAGAATTGAAACCAACATTTGGCCCAACTCTACCATATGCCAGACATTTATCATCGAATCTGAACAACTGTATGAAATAAGTACTTATACCCCAATTTAACAGATAGAAAATATTGGGACCTCTAGGGCAAGGAGGAAGAAGGAGAGGGTATAACTAGAAAAGGGCAAAAAGGGGGCTTGGTCTGTATTGGTAATGGAAAGTCAATTTGGGTGGCAGGATTATGAATGTGTTACAGCTTTCTTTACGACTCAGTACATGGCTAAAATGTTTTACAATAATAATTTAAATCACCTGTGAAGAAAAGATTCAGAGAAGTTAACTGGTCAAAAAAAATCACACTGCCAGACAGAACTCTGATTAGAAGTAGGCCACTTGCAGTTACGCTGCTTTTCTGATGGTTAAATTTAGCACAGAATCAAAGGAGAGCTATAAAGTGTAGGAAGTATTTATTTACATAGGATTGAGTCCAGAGCATCTTGTGACACCCTCTACTTATCTGTCTTACTTGGAGAATAGTCTGAATTTCATATTACATGTTGACCATTCCGAATTTGAAAATACAAAATCCTCAAAAATCTGAAATTTTTTGAGGATCAACATGATGCTCAATGTAAATACTCATTGGAGTATTTCAAATTTCAGATTAGGAATACGCAACTGCTATGTATTCTGCAAATATTCCAAAATCCAAAAAAATTAAAAACACTTCTGGTCCCAACCATTTTGGATAGGGATACTCAACCTATATTGCATACAGGTAATATAGTAGGTGAAAGGCAGGGAGGCTGCAGGATCTAAGTCTACTAAATTGGCCAGGATCATTTCTTAACCTTCAGATACCTATTTAGCAGGGTCTCATTAAAGTTATTTGTCATGTTAGTTCAGTCTGGCCTGGTGCTGGTAATTATAGCTACAAACGCAAGGGCAAAGTTCTTAAGATTTTGAGATGCTCTTTATGCAACAATACTTCCATTTACTCTCTCTCTCTCTCTTTCTCTCTCTCTCTCTGTGTGTGTGTGTGTGTGTCTGTGTAGGGAGAGAAAGGGTGGCAACGGGGTGGAGAGTGGAACTACAATTTATTAAGCGCCTATTATTACAAGCCAAGTAGGGTGTTAAGCATTTTCCTTGTGCTATTCCATTCAATACTCTTCAATCCTGAGGGAAAATGAACCCACTTTAAAAAAGCAAAACAAAAGGTGTTAATGAGGATTGCATAAGACATGCAAGGTCATCAGGGAGTTTACATGCAAGTGGGAGACACAAAATAATACAACAGAAGTTCAGTGTTCTGAGGAAAAAGAAGGGTAAGGGTAGTTATGACATCGGGGGAAGCAGGACTCAGGATAAAACAATTTTAAGATCCATTTTTTTGAGGAAGGAACTGAGGATGACTTTACTACATAGCCTTTTTGGTTAACTTTCTATCGCCAGGAAAAAGCCCTGGGAAGACAGCCTCTCTTGTATGCAAACCCAATTCCAATCTTGGGAGAGAACCTGCTGGTGGGACAAAATTAGGTTTTTCAAGAGATGCTCAAATGGTCAGTTCTAATTATAACCACACTTATCAAAAGGTGAAGCAAAGACGAAAGTTAAAAACTGAGGGGAAATTAAAATTCCCAAATTTGTCAACCAATCTCTAATTTTCTCCGCTACTTTAGCACTACAGTAGTTAGCCATACACTGAAGATCTACTTTACAAAATATATTCCTATGTCTGACAGTCCCACTCTAACAATTTAATCTGACTCATGTAAGTTGGACAGGCTCAAGTACAAGAAACAGAATTCAAAACATGAAAACTAAGCCATCTATCACACACGGTGTCGGTTGGAGAAGCATATTGCTCAGGCTGCAGGGACATTTCATTTATTTAAATGTTTTTATTAAAAAAAAAATTAAAGACCTTCATGGCACAACTTCTTCCCAGCACAGTTATGTTTTAGTTATACCAATTACAATACAATTACAACCAATAAATCAAGGTGGGGGAGGGACTTCTGGCTTCAAACTTAAAAAAAAAAGCAGAGGAAGAGGGGAGGGACCACTTCAAACAAAGTTTAAAAATACTTTAAAAAATCTTTCAGAGTAATTGCCAACAAAACTTTTCATATTGGCCATTCCATTTTCTGCCATCTAAGCAATGCAGACACAGGTAGTGCTGAGAAATAAAGTGTCCCAATACAAGGTATACAGATGAGGTAATTTACAACAACACATAAGTTGTTACTCTGTAAACCCTTGCCTTCCCCCCACCCCCCACCCAATTGGGTTTTTTTCTCTCTCCATGCTTCTGCAGTGACTCTAAGTAGCATTTTTAAAAACTTCTATATTTTAAAAGGCTCTTGGGTGGCACCTCAGAGTCCTCTGCATTCACCTTCGGTTTCTTGCAAGGTCTGATGGGTGTAAGGAGGTCCAGCTGTCTGCAGCTCTCTGCATCAGCCTAAGCTACACCTAGATTTCCGAGCTACAAGGGTAGGGTGTGAAGTCTTGATTTACAACCCTCTCCCCACCTCAAAAGTAAGAATTCATTAGTTATAAGTGTCCTGTTCAATCACAATCCAGTGCAAACATAATAACAAATTGCATCTCTGGCACATCTGGTGCTTTTAGCTTCTGCACAAATTCAACATGGTAACCCTCACAGCATTCTAGGGCATAAAAGGGTCAAGTACAATAAATATCCACTGTAAGTGGTCATAAGGAAGAAAATCACCCTGCCACACAGTCAGAATGTTTTCCCTTCAGCTCTCCCTATAGTTGAGAAGCGCTATAAAAGGAGGCTTTAGCATCCTCTAAAGTTTACCATTATATTCACTAAAGCCACCACCTTGATAAGGTTACTAAAGCCAAGATGGGTTACAAAGTTAGGTTAAGTTCATTAAATTCAACTCCCCAATTATGTTTACCTATGATGCCTAGGTGAGAAAGGCTTGTGAATCTATAAAGGTAGGAGAATGGGGAACTAAGATTTCAGGCCTTAAAATATGTTGGAAGAATTTTTCCTAGTTCCCATAAGCAGCTACTGTAATGTAATGAAATAACAGGAGAAAAAACAGAGCTGATGGTTTTGCTATTGTGCTTAAAAAACTAGGCTTCCTCAGTGAAGCACCTGATAAACTTAGGTGGTTGGATTACAGTGGAAAGTCCACTTTACACATACACAAACACACACAAAAACTGGCGACTTTTTCCATCCCCAATCCCTGCACTGCTGAGACACAAAATGAGTTTTATGGCAAAGGATCCTTAATCCCCAGAGACGCTTTGGCTTGTGGTGCTTTTTTTTAAGGCCTCTCTGCCCTGCCCAGTACCATGGGTCGAATGAGGGGTGTATAAAAATGGGGGCCTTGGGAAGCCTCCACGGTACAGGGCTGCAGGCCCCTCAGATGTGAACATGAGACACCCACCCAGCAAGACCTTTACACAGGGAACTTAAATCTAACCTTGATAAATAAAACCAAATGTTTATTTACACCAAAGAATTCCAACACTGGATCTTTCACATATGAAGGACAAAGTATTATATATATACACACAGCAAGGGGTGGCAGGGCTGTAACAAGAGAGTTTATAATTTTCCCACAATTACAGGTCTACCATTTCAGCTTCAATGGAGATAGTGGCTCTGCTCCTACCTCTCAAGATACATTTATAAGACTGAGGAGCAGGTCTTCTCGCTGGATGGCATGTGAGGGAAGGGGAAGGAAGGTAGGAGGAAAAGAAGGTAGAAAGCTTAAAATGGAACTCAGTGTGGCCACATCTCCCATTAGCTCTAGCATGAAACCTGTATAGACAATGTTTGTTTCTTTTGTAAAAAGCAATTAAGTTATGCCCAGCAACTAACTGAATGCAACAATGGCCAAGACAAAGAAAACTGAGAAAGATTTTGCCTTCCCCCTCCTACCAGCTATGGAACACACCATGTTGGGAGATGAATAGGGAAAGATCAAGGTAAGGAGCCTGGGAGGGAAGGTATCAAAATTTTAAACTGAACTCAAACTAAAATTATAAATGAGTTGGATTTAGGGTTAGATCAATAAGACATGATTCTTACTGAATAGAAGTTTTTAGTATCTGTCTGCATTTTGGGTAGATTTTCAACATCTCAACATAACTAAGACACACTTCCACGAGAGCCACCAGGATAAGCCCACTGAAGCGCTTCTGGAGTAAAGTGATGTAAATGACCAGCAAGCAGTCCACTGCTCCTACAGATTGGGTCCTCCCTTCCTTCTTTCCTTCCTGCCTCCTTTCTTCCCGCCTTTCTTGAGAAGCTACATTTTTGTAATCTCTGGAGAAGAGCACAAGATACCAACCCCCCAAAGTGTGGGATGGTGGAGGAACAATGGTGGGAATGGGAAGAAATCTCCACCCAAATGCAGCAGCCGGGATTAAGGCTGGTTTATCTTTGTTCTTTTGTGATGAGGAACTAAATTTGGAAGGGGAGAAAAAAAATTGTCCATGAAATATTCCACCTGCAGGTAATTTTTCAGGGAATCCCCTGAGTTATGAAAAGTTCGAGTAAAAAAAAAAAAAAGAAAAAAGAAAAAAAGAAAATCAGCCTATTATAATTTTTTTTTTATGACTGAACTACTATAAATCCACAAGCAACGGTTCAGACACGGTGCTTCTGAAGTGTTTCACCCCTCCCCGCCAGGCGCAAGCTGCATCAAGGAGGGTGGACTCCCCCACCTCTGCTCAGGCATCAGGAGACAGATAGAGCTGTTACTGCTGAGCGCCAGCGGCAGCTGGAACAGGCATCCCAAGGGGGTTGGCAGCAGCAATCACTGGTGAGCCTGCCAGAGGTCCAAGGGGTGAAGGGGTTGGCACTGAAGAAATCCCTGAAAGAAAACAGATGTCAGTGAGCCAGAGACACGAACCATAGCAATCTTACCAGTTTCTCCTAGCAGTTGCTGCAAAACTAACAAGAATTCTTTACTGAAGACTCCTTCTTGGCCAGATTTTTGCATATACTTTAAGTCTGATTCTCACAAATTCACGTTAAAGTGGCAAGTCCTAATTAATTTAGGAGACAGGTAAAGAAATCTAGGCTTGGACAGTTTCAGCAGTTTGTCCAAGGTACACCACTAGCAACTGGCAACCACGGTTAGATTCTAACCCAGGCCTGTATAGGGCAGTGCTGTCCAACCTGGTGGCCACTAGCCAACCACATGTGGCTGCTGGGCACCTGAAATATGGCTAGTGCAACTGAGGAATTACATTTTAAATTTTATTCAATTTTAATTAAATACCTCCTGGCTAGTCACTACCACAGTGAACAGCACAGGACTGCAGTCAAAGCTCATGTGCTCTTATACCACGCTGTCCTGATAGCTGGCAGTTTTCAAAATTACTAAAAGTCAATTTGAATGGGGAAGGTAGTACTTTCTAAGCTAAAACTGTATTTTGGAGTTTATTTCCATTTGATTTCTTCTGCCTCTCTAATCGTGTGTGTGTGTGTGTGTGTGTGTGTGTGTGTGTGTACACAGGTAATATATTCACATGGTTCAAAACACAAAAGGTTCAAAAAGTATACAAAGGCCAGGTGCAGTGGCTCATGCCTATTGTAATCCCAGCACTTTGGGAGGCCGAGGCGGGTCGATCACCTGAGGTCAGGAGTTCAAGATCAGCCTGGCTAACAAAGTGAAATCCCATCTCTACTATTAATACAAAATAATTAGCCAGGTGTCGTGGCACAGGCCTGTAATCCCAGCTACTTGGAAGGCTGAAGTAGGAGAATTGCTTGAACCCAGGAGGCAAAGGTTGCAGTGAGCTGAGATCGCACCATTGCACTCCAGCCTGGGCAACAAAGTGAAACAAAACAAAACAAGTATGCAGTGAAAAATTTCCCACACCCTATTGCTTGGCCAACTTATGGCACCATTTTTGGGGCATATCCTTCCAGAGACATTTAACACTTGTACATGAATATCATTTTATAAGAATATTCATATAAGAATAAAAAAAATAAAACAAAAAAATACAAAAGAAGAATATTCATATAAGAATCATACAGGCCAGGCACAGTGGCTCACACCTATAATCCCTGCACTTTGGGAGGCCAAGTTGGTTGGATCACCTGAGGTCAGGAGTTTGAGACAGCCTGGCCAACATGGTGAAACCCCATCTCTACTAAAAATACAAACATCAGCTGAGTGTGATGGCAGGCACCTGTAGTCCTAGCTACCTGGGAGGCTGAGGTGGGAGAATCGCTTGAACCCAGGAAGCGGAGGTTGCAGTGAGCTGAGGTTGTGCCACTGCACTCCAGCCTGGGTGACAGAGCAAGACCCTGTCTCAAAAAAGAATCGTATATGAGAACATCATTACATATTCTTCTCCACTCCTGCTCTTAGACATGGCTCTGCATCTTACTTTTTTTGTTTTGTTTTTGAGACAGTCTCACTTTGTCACCTAGGCTGGAGTGCAGTAGTGTGATTCTGGCTCACTGCAACCTCTGCCTCCCAGGTTCAAGCGATTATCTTGCCTTAGCCTCCAAGTAGGTGGGATTAAAGGCGCCTGCCACCATGCTCAGCTAATTTTTTGTATTTACAGCAGAGACAAGGTTTTGCTATGCTGGCCAGGCTGGTCTCGAACTCCTGACCTCAAGTGATCCACCTGCGTCAGCCTCCCAAAGTGCTGGAATTACAGGCATAAGCCACTGCACCTGGCCCTGCATCTTGCTTTTTTTTTTTTTTTTATTTTTGGAGACGGAGTCTCACTCTGGTGCCAGGCTGGAGTGCAGTGGCGCAATCTCTGCTCACTGCAACCTCCACCTCCTGGGTTAAAGCGATTCTTCTGCCTCAGTCTCCTGAGTAGCTGGGACTACAGGCGCACACCACCATACCCAGCTACTTTTTGTATTTTTAGTAGAGACGGGGTTTCATCATGTTGGCCAGGATGGTCTCAATGTCTTGACCTCGTGATCCACCCACCTCAGCTTCTCAAAGTGCTGGGATTACAGGTATGAGCCACCACACCTGGCCTGCATCTTGCTTTTTAAATTTCACATTATTATATTGGAGTTCGAACTCTAACAGAACATAAAACGCATTCATTCTTTTCTCCAGCTGCATCATATTCCATTAAATGGATATATCATGACTGATTTAACCAGTTTCCTACTGATAGCTATTCTCAATGTTTTGTTATTACAAATAAGGCTACAAGTAGGCTTGGATACACAGTACTCTGTATAGAGGTAGGATACTCAAGGGGTAAATTCTAGAAGGCAGCTAGTTCCTTAAAATGGGGGGTGGGGAGCAACAGCATTTGAGAGTATCTAGATAAATGCCTTCACTACCACACGTGAACCCATTTGGATGTTGCCTACATGTATAATCTTATCGTATGTGCCTCTAGTTCCTTTGGCGTAATTGGGTACTCTATAAAAACTCACTATACATCACACTGATTCAATAATTAAAAACAATTTTACTTATGTTTTTATAACTCATACTCTGTAGTTGCTCTGTTAAATATGAGAACTGTCCTTGTACACACACACCCCTATGTACAAACCCCATCTTTACACCCCAATTTCTTAATATTGTTTCTGATATTGTACACTCTACTCAAGACAGTGTCACTGAAGTATACCAAGTGTTAAGCGTGCTGAAACCTGGTGAGAAAAGTTATAAGACCACCAGTACAGAGAAAAGAAGGTATACAATAAATAAGATCACAAAGCTAAGAATAGTAATTGACTTCCACATTTTTTTTTAAAAGAAATTTACCAGTGAACTGACCTGACATCATATTGGCGCTGCTGACAGGCGTACTTCCCCCTGCCATGCTAGATGAACCCATTCGAGCCTGGTCCTTCACAACAGTGTCTAGAAAAGAGACAAAAAAGGCTAAGTTCTGTTTTGCTTGAAAGATTAAACTAATGGTCTGGGAGCCTGAAAGCAGCAAGCTTCATTCTTTGCATTTTATTTATACTCTACATTATTCCCCAAAGAACTTAAGGTGGCAATTGCCTTCACCACAAATTAGACAAGTGATAAAAAACAGAAATAGCTTTCCTATCAAACTGTGGTAAAAGTTAACCCTTCAATATTTTGTTATTACAAATAAGGCTACAAGTAAGCTTGGATATACATTACTTTGTACAGAGGTAGGATACTCAGGGATACTTTCAACCAAACGGTAGAAAGATGAGGTAATTATTTATTGTAGAGCTAATTTAAAATGAAGCTGCTTCTGTTGAGGTTTAACGGAGACATGACAATGTAACTCGGCAAAGATGGTAATATATTACCAGTGTGTCCACAGCTCAGTACCAAGTAGGCCAAAGGTATAGATAGGTCCATGTAGGTTAGGGCTGTGACCACATTCTCTATCCCAATCAGCCTGTCTGCCTGCTTCTGGTACAGAAGACTGGACAAAAGTATAAATCATTCACTACAAAACCATCACCCAAGGAAAAATGCAATGTTGCAGCTAATATCACAGTGAGGATGGGGTGGGTCTAAGTGGCATTTTCACTTAGGATGGCACAGGTGGTTATATTCACACATCTAAGTCAAGGTGTTCATACAATATTAAGATTTGTAAGCCTCATTAGCTCTTTTCAGTGAATGGTTACTAGAGACAGGACAGATACAGGGCTGTGTATTCTAATTCAACCATTCCAGACAGAGGCACTGAGACATCCTCACAGTATGAAAGAAGTATATTTAGAAATGCTCTTGGGTCATGTATTATGTTAGAGAAGAATTATTCCAATAATTGCGCAGTGTAGTTGCCATCACTATACCCACTGGAAGAATCTGAGGCTAGTGTAGGTGAATTAGCTTTGCAGCAAGCAGACAGGAGCTGGGATTACAACGCTGTGCTGTAGGACTCTGGGCCTGCACAAGCTCTGTGGGCTAGACAGCTGGACTCACAGAAATAAGGGTGCTCCATGGCTTCTCTTGCAGTAAGCCGTGACTGGTGGTCATATCGCAGCAGTTTGTCCAGGAAATCCAAGGCCTCAGGGCTGACAAGATGCTGATTTTCACTGTGGACAAAGCGTTCCCATCGCTTTCGAGAGTGTCTGCAGGACCAAAAGAGGGAATGAGAAATGGGCCATGTGGGCAGAGAAGCCCAACATTTCATTTCTACATTTTTCTTAGTGGTTAAAAGCCCAGCCAAAAGCAAAGAGGAATCAAAACTCAAGAGAGTAGTCTTGTACCACTCTGCCACTGCATGGGACAACAAAGCTAACTGGAGACTGGAAATAACATAGATAGAGTAAAAAAAGACATGAGTCCTCTCAATTTTAAGAAACATAATTCAGATTACTTGACAGGATGTGAATTGCTTCTGTGTAGCAAGGAGGGTCAGGTGGCTGAGCCAACCAGGCCTACTTTCCATCCTCACACATATTCCTGGCATCTCTGCCACTTGGCCAGCAAAAGCCTTTGTATCGGGAAAGTCCATCTCCTCCTGTTAAGTGGTTAGTATATAAGTACTGTACCCAGTCATTATTGTTAAAGTCAGTTGTCTGCACATCAGTCATTTTTTTGAGACAGGGTCTCACTCTGTTGCCCAGGCTGGAGTGCAGTCATATGTTCATAGCTCTCTGTAGCCTTCCTTCCTGGGCTCAAGGGATGCTCCTGCTTCAGCTTCCTAGCAGTCTGGACTACTGGCACACATCACTATGCCTAGGTGACTTTTTATTTTTTTGTGGAGTTGAGGGTCTCACTATCTTGCCCAGGCTGGTCTCCACCTCCTGGGATCAACTGATCCTCCTGCCTCGGCCTCCTAAAGTTCTAGGATTACAGATATGAGCTACTATGCCCCGCCTGCACATCAGTCTTAAAGCATGCATTTTCTATTTCAATTTCTTTCTCTTGGAGAGAGTTTTGTCATTTAAAGAAGCTAGGTTTATGAAGTGAGATTTTTATTTCTGGCTCAACTGTAACCCGTCTACTAGAATCTACACTTCATTTTGCAGGAATCCTCTAGCTATATAGTCCCTCCATCAGATTCCCGTAAGTGAATCTGAATAAAGGGCCATTCAATCCAATGCCTTTATCAGAGGACTGCTCAATGCAGCATCCTGTGGCAATGGACCACTGTTAGCAAAGAGAACATAACTGTTCTGAAGATCCTAAGCGCCAGTTCATACCCAAAGTGCTTAAGCCACAGATGCACATATTGTGTTTCATGACTTACCTGCCCAAGATATCATTGAAACGTGGATCTAATTCAATGTTGTATTTGTCAATATAGTCATATAAATCTTCTGTCCCCAGAACTTTGGCTATCCTCACCAACTAGTATTAAAGAAAGAGAAAAACCCATACCACAAGCACATTATATCATTAAATCAACAATTAATAATGATTGAATTAATATAAAGGCATCATCATGTCTACAGGTATGAATGCTAGACCTCCTAACAATTTAGACTTCAACTCAATGTGACAGTGTTAGAAAAAGCAAATCACTTTATAAACTGGTTCCTTCCTCTTGAAATGTCACCCTGGTGAACTCAAAACCCAATTGAAGATGTGCCACTTCTTTTGGGAAGCTCCCCTTGCACACTCAGACTACTCACCGCTACTGCCTTTTTTGCCTTGTCCACACTTCTACTCTGAAGTTACGACTATAATCTATTTCCTTGTATGTTTGACTCCCTTACAAGATTGACTATGAACTATTTGAGGGAAGAACTGTTCTTTTTTTTTCTGTAATCCTCAGTACTGCATGGCACTTGATACAGAGTTACTGACTTTAATGGAATTCAGGTTGTATTCTTTGACTCATTAAAAATGGACATGGTGCTCAAAGGGAACAAGGCAGTGGTACCTTCCACAAGGTCCTAGAATCATTCCAGGTTCTTGTGAATGAAACAGCCCTTTAATCTTCAAGGGGGAAGTGGAGTTAGTTTAAAAAGCATCTATAACTCAACCCATATAAAGAGACAAAAGGATCATAGAAATACCACATATAGGCTAATATACTGTAGAAAACATCATATTGGAGAATAAGTTTGTATTAGGAGAATTCTAAGGTAATGTCCTATTTTAAAAATCTGCATGACAATTTACATGTATTCTTCACAATAAAACAGGCAATGCAAATGACAAAGACTAGGGGGAAAGTCTGATTTCCAAAAGCTAAGCTGGTAGCTCACAAAACATCGATCTAATGATCAATATCAGGGTGGCAGAACAAACAGTGAACTGAAAATTATAGGCAGTTCTGGCTATCACTGCATTAGACCAGGAAATTTTTTGATGTGTATAATATATATTACCTGATCATAATTGTCATGTCCATGGAAAAATGGCTCCTTCCGAAAGATCATACTTGCCAGCATACAGCCCAAACTCCACATATCCAAACTATAATCATACATCTGCATAAAAGTAAATTCAGTTATTATTCGTGAATCCCCAGGCTTGTCGCTTCAAAATAAAAAATTGATTTTTTTTAAATTAAAAAATCACTCCACTGACTCAAAAATCAAAACACTAATAACATCTTCATATATTTCTTTTTAGTCGTTTATGCATGCTTTCACTCTATTTTAAAACAAATTTTACTTTTCTTTCTTCTTTTTTTCAAAAAAGATACAGGGTCTTGCTCTGTTGCCCAGGCTGGAGTGTAGTAGCGCGAACATAGCTCACTGTAGCCTCCAACTCCTGGGCTTAGGGCTCCTGAGTAGGTAGGACCACAGGCACAGACCGCTATGCTCAGCTAATGTACATACTATTCTGAATTGTTTTCTTCACTTACATTAAAAAAAAAAAATTTCCAAATTGTTAGCCTATAGAGATCATCTAATGTGTATCATTAGTATTTTATAACATGAATGTTTTTTAGAATTTAATCTTTAATTTTCCTATATAGGACAGTGTTCTGTTTTTCATAATTAGTAATATGGTAAATAATATTTTTATGCATAAAATGCTATTTGAGCTCAGAGCTATAGCCTTAAGATCTCAAGAAAGAGATTTCTACAAGAACTAAGAGACTGAAACTTTTAAAATCAACTGATAACCTGGAGAGACTGGGCATAAAAGACGCTCCTAAGAAAACTTTAGATTTTTAAATACTTGGCAAATCTATTATTAATTTGGTTCCCTTCTCCTTTCTCTGTGAGGGAAAAGAAGGCTTTTGGGGGAAAGTGGGGCGAAGGGCTTTATATTTAGTATACAATTCAGAAGAAAAAGAAAACATTCTTGAATTTACTCTGAAGATTGGTTAAACTCAGTTACAGGTTGGGCATGGTGGCTAATGCCTGTAATCTCAGCACTTTAGGGAGCTGACGTGGGAGGATGGGTTGTACCCAGGAGTTTGAGATCAGCCTGGGCAACATAGTGAGACTTTCTCTCTATAAATAAAAAAATTAAAAATTTAGCTAGGTGTGGTAGTACATGCCTGTAGTCCCAGCTACTCAGGAGGCTATGGTGGGAGGATTACTTGAGCCCAGAAGTTCGAGGCTGCAGTGAGCTAAGATCATGGCACTGCACTCCAGCATGGGCAATAGAGCAAAACCCTGCCTCAAAAAACAAACAAAAACAACCAGGCTTACAATTTTCAAACCAGTTCTGGAACTTCTGATTACAGAACATATCTTTGGTTATTTTCCCTCAAGTTAGGATCAAATACAGACCTATTCATATTCTACTGACACTGTGACAATAAAAGAAATGTAAGTTATGGTACATAATTGAGGTGATTTATATTTTACATTTCATATAAAAAGGACAGCTATTACTGTGCATAAGTGGCCTACTTAAATGCACAAAATGACACTGTTCTTGGGTAAATTATGTGCAAAATAAACACAGGACCAAAACTGTACCTGCCCTTCTCACCTGATAGTCTACAAGTAGCTCAGGACCTTTGAAGTATCGGGAAGCAACTCGGACATTATATTCTTGGCCAGGATGATAAAACTCAGCCAAACCCCAGTCTATTAGTCGAAGCTGAAAAAGAATAAATTATGAGCAATTTTATCCTTCTCTAAGCTACCCACATTGTGCTATTAGCATACTCTTGATAAAATGTACCAGCCATGTCACTGTCTACTGAAACCCCTTCACTGACTACTTATAGCCTTTAGGATGAAAATCAAACTTTTTAGTTTGACATACAACTTTCTCCAAGATTTTGTTCCTAAAAGACACAATATCATTTGTGCCTTTCAAATTTCTTAAACTGCTCAATAACTAAAATGTCCCCACTACCCAACCTATAATCCTATTGGTAAGCATCTCCTTAACTTTTGGAATATTTAAGTTAGCTCCTCAATGAAGTCTTTTCTAATTATTTAAATAGAACTGATCATTGCCTTCGGCCCCCTGAACTTTATATATATATCTCTTTAACAGAACCTACAACTCTTTATGTTTTCTACCTTCCTTTTTCAATATGGATGACAAGCTCCTTGGGGGTAGGGACTATTTTATTCACTTTTGTAATTTTCAGAATTCAACATAATGCCTGGTATACAGGAGAAAAATGAATAAATATTTGCTGGACAGATGAAATAACAGAAAAGTCATACACTACAGCTTTTACCAAAATGTGTCCTAAACGTGGAAAAAGGGATAAGAGGCAAGCTTATTCGTCTGTTGTGCTTAGCACGACCATGATATGAAGTGCCAGCAGTAGGCCCTGAGGAATAACATCTGAATGCTCTGGCACTAAGTTTACTGCCCACATCTCAAAACGAAACCTTTGATTATTCCCTGCAAAGCCACCTCCATAGTCTCCCCCTGCTCAGTTAAAGGTGATATTCATCCTGTCATATAAGCCAAAACTTCAGATTCACCCTGGATTCTTGTTTCCCTCAGACCTCACATTTAATCTGTCAACAAATCCTGAAGGCTCCATCATATTCTGATTATTATCATCACCTCCACTGCCACTGCCCTGATCCAAGTCACCACCACCTCTTGTTTGATATATTGCCATAGCCCCTTCTCCCAACCAGTCTCAGTGCTTTCACTCTTGCCCTCTAGTTTAAATAGTTTAATAAATACTAAATAGTTTAATAATTGTTTTACAAATATTAAATATTTAAAAATAAATATAAATAGCTTTTTAAAAGGATTGTTCAGGTTGCTATGGAGAGATTACAGATTCACAGGAAACTGCAAAAGTAGTAGAGATTCTCTATACCCTTTACCTGGTTTCCCCTAATAGTAACATCTTACATAACAGTAAGTACAGTAAGTACCAAAATACATACAGTACAGTACCAAAATCAAGAAACTGACATTGGCACAATTCAGAAAGATCTTATTCAGGTTTCACCAGTTTTACATGCATGCGTGTGTTTGCGTATGTTTCTAAGCAATTTTATTATGTGCAAATTCATATAATCTCCTCCACAAGATCATCACACACATGTCCTGTGTATTAGCCCAACCCCTCTGCTCTTTATCTCTATCATTTTGAGAATGCTATAGAACTGGAGTCACTGGCATATAACTTTTTTTGAGATTGCCTTTTTTCACTAAGCATAAGATCCATCCAAGTTGTTGCATGTATCATAGGTCTTTCCTTTTTATTACCGAGAAACACTACTTCATAATGACATATAGTATGGATATGCCAGTGTGTTTAACCTTTCCCTCATTAAAGGGCATTTTTTCCCCTAATTTTTTTTTTTTTTTTTTTTAGAAGGCGCCTTGCTCTGTCACCCAGGCTGGAGTGCAGTGGCGCAATCTTGGCTCACTGCAACCTCCGCCTCCCGGTTCAAGTTATTCTCCTGTCTCAGCCTCCTGAGTAGCTGGGATTACAGACATGCACCATCATGCCCAGATAATTTTTTTTTTTTTTTAGTAGAGACGGGGTTTCACCATGTTGGTCGGGCTGGTCTTGAACTCCTGACCTCGTGATCTGCCAGCTTCAGCCTCCCAAAAAGTGCTAGGATTACAGGTGAGCCCCTGTGCCCAGCTTTTTCCCCCAATTTTGAGCTATTACAAATATAGTTGCATTCATATATAGGCTTTTGTGTGGACCTAAGATTTTGTTGCTCTGGGATAAATGCCACTGCAGGATTGTATGGTAAGCATATGTTTAGCTTTTCAAGAAACCAACAAACTATAAAACAACAGTTTAGCATTTTCCAAAATGTCAAACCTTACATTCCTACCAGCAATGTATGAGAGATCAAGTTTCTTCACGTATTCGCCAGCACTTGGAACCATTGCTATCTTTTATTTCAGCTGTTCTAATAGATGTGTAGTTAACTTTTAAATTTCAAGTGAGAACATGCCAAAGCTTAGAATATGCAAAAGCTCTCTAACTTCAGAGAAAAGGCCTAACCACCAATAAGGTTTTACATTATTTGGTTTTACCTCTTTGATCCCATTTCCTTCGACTTTCCCGGCATTCATCCTGTCCCAGCTTTATCCTTGCTGCTGTTCCAACACGCCAAACATATTACTCAGAGCTTTTGTACTTGCTATTTACTCTGCCTTGGGACATGTCTCTTCATAAGACTGCATGGCTGGGTCCCTTCCAGTGCTAAAATGTCACCTTTCTAATGAAACCTTCCCTTACAACTGATTGAAAACTGCAAATACCCTCTTGCCATTCCCTATTCTTGTTTTTTTCTTCTACGTCAAAATAACTTTCTATCCCATCAGCCTCCCTAAATGTAAGCTCCTAAAAGATAAGCATTTATTGTATGTTTAGTTCATTCACGTATTTCTAGCCCCTAGAACAGTGCCTTTGACATAGTATGTGTCTTAAAAAAAAAAAAAAATTAGTTCCATAAACAAATTACCTAACTCCCCGAAGACAACAGATAAGTCATCATGGCCTGATCACCTTAAAAAACTGAAACATTGGCCGGGCACAGTGGCTCATGCCTGTAATCCCAGCACTTAGGGAGGCCCAGGCAGGTGGATTACCTGAGGTCAGGAGTTCGAGACCAGTCTGACCAACATGGTGAAACCCCGTCTCAAAAAAACAAACAAACAAAAACCTGAAACGTTATAAAGCATGTTGCCATTACAGCTCTCATGTAAAAGCATTTGCAGCCAATAGGGGCCTCATGACACCTACTAACAGAAGTAGCATTTTCTGTATACTTTATCCGCTTAACTGTGCACATTTAATTATCATGAATACCTAGTCGCCTGAAGGGCAATAATTACCCACATTGTACAGGTAAGAAAAAGTAGGCAAATGAAGAGAAAGTAGTTTCTCAGAAAACTAGTTATTCAATAAATAAGATTAGAAGCCAGGTTTCTGGGCTAAGAAGATGAACATTTTGCCCATTATACTAGTTTCCTTCTTGGTAGTATTCTTAGAAATATAAGTAATGGTTCAAACATGTTGATTTGTAAATTCATACATTCATTCACCAAATATTTATCAAGTGCCTAATAGGTACTAGGGTCTGTGACAATACAAGGGATAAAGTGTTGAAGATGGGCTGTGTGTTTATCACGTGGATAAACAACACTTGTCAGTCTATCACTTTACCTTTCTGTGCTCATGATCAATCATGACATTATGGGGCTTCACATCTCTATGCATAATTCCCATGCTGTGACAATAATCCAGGGCCTGTGAGAGGAACAGGTAAGAAAGGAGTCAGCCTGAGTAACAGGGATTTTTTTTGTTAATAGTTAAGAGTCCTTTACTTTTTCCTCCATGTAAATTTTCCTTTTAGCTTCACAACCCCCTGGGATTCAAGATTAGGAGAGTCACTTCCACAGCAATGCTTCAGAGACCGTTCATGGTCTCATAGTCAAGCAAACTCAGGTCTTTTGGCTTAGAGATCTTTTTCTGACATAGTTGTTTCAACATGCGTTCTGTCCTAAAAGACCCAAAGTATACCCAAATTGCACCACTTCAAATTTTTCCATCTTGTCCAGATCCTAGATTTTTACAGGCCCCTCAAAAAATGAACACAGATCTTTACTACAAACTTCTTATTCAAAGAACAGTAATTCTTTAGCAACTAAGAGTCTACAACAGAGGTTGGCAAACCACAGGCCAAATTTGGCCTGATATCTGCTTTTGTAAATAATGTTTTATTGGAACATAGCCATGCCCATTTGTTTACATATTGTCTATGGTTGCTTTTCTACAAAAGCAGAGTTGAATAGTGTGACAAAGACCATATGGCCCACAAAGCCTAAAATATTTACTATTTGCCTCTTCACAGAAGTTTGCCAATGCCTGATTTAGATAATCAAATCCAATCTGAAATTTTTTCAACCTCAAGCTAAAGGGAACTGAGCAGTATAATCTTTGGGGTCTGTTAATCCCAGCCTTTCAGTCAACTGATGTCATTGGTCAAATTCTTGTCCTTCCTGAAGGGCAACTTGGGTTCTTACAGTTCCCAGGGCTAGGCAATCTTAACTGTAACTTTCTAAAGCCTTGCCTGCCACAAGACTGCATGAGCCAATGGAAAGATCAAATATCTCTGCTGGCACAACTCCTCAGAGTACTTCTAAGGCACAAACAGCAGGCTTTATGTCAACTCTTGTTTAGTAAGAAACCTTAGCCAACTTTTAGTAATTCTCTCATCTAGAAAGCTGATCTTGTGACTACTGGGAACAAGATATTTGGTGACCCCACTTTGGAAATGAAAATAAATTTTCAATTAGCAATCTATAAGCAGAAATTTACACACTCCTTAGGACAATTACCCTTTGAGAACTGAGTTGTAGTTTACTGTTTCATTTGTTGAATCTTAAGTGAAATAAAGTACACCAGAAGCTAGCACATCAGGTGTTTTCAAGAGTTTTGAAAACTTAATTTTAACTTATGTAGGGGCATACAGAGATTACAAATATTTGTTAAGGGGTCAGTCCCAGCTTTCTTACAAATAACCTTTTCAAATTGTTCTAAATTATACTCCTACTGGACCCCATTCCATAACCCTTAGCACAAGGGTTCTCATACTATTATTATTAATGTTGATTTATGATTTATGTATTTAGAGACAGGGTCTCACTCTGCACCACTGCACTCCAGCCTGTGCAACAATCATAGCTCACTGCTGCCTCAAATTCCTGAGATCCTCCTGTCTCAGCCTCCCAAGTAGCTGGAATTACAAGTATGCGCCACCATGCCCAACTAATTTTTTAATTTTTTTGTAGAGGCAGAGTCTCACTATGTTGCCTGGGCTGGTCTTGATCTCCTGGCCTCAAGTAATCCTCCTGCCTTAGCCTCCCAAGTAGCTGCAACTACAGGTGCCCACTACCATGGCCAGCTAATTTTTAAATTTTTTTTGGTAGAGATGGGGGCTTCACTATGTTGCCCAGGCTGGTCTTGATCTCCTGGCCTCAAGCAATCCTCCTGCCTCAGCCTTCCAAAGCACTGAGATTACAGGTATGATATTATTAACTTATTAAAAACTTATTCAGAGGTCCCTTCTTTCAACATACTTTACATAGTTAATGTGCTGGCTTTTCTACCATCAACTGACTATTTAACAAAGAGAAGACCAATTTAAAAATATTTAGTATCTGCCTGGGTATAGTGGCTCACATCTGTAATCCCAGAACTTTCAGAGGCTGAGGCAGGTGGATCACCTGAGATGGAGACCAGCCTGGTCAACATGGCAAAACCGTCTCTACTAAAATATACAAAAATTAGCTGGCCGCGGTGTCAGGTGCGTGTAATCCCAGCTACTCGGGAGGCTGAGGCAGGAGAATCACCTAAACCTGGGAGGCAGAGGTTGCAGTGAGCCGAGATTGCACCATTGCACTCCACCCTGTAAGACAAAGCAAGACTCCGTCTCAACAACACAACAACAACAAAAATTAGTGTCCAAAGTTCACTTACCTTCAGAATCTCATACATGTAAAATCGAATATCGTAGTCTGTTAATGTCTGGTACAATTGCTGTTAAAGACAAATGTAAGATTTGAGCCATGAAATAACGCTGACAGAAAGGCATTTTCACCCTCACTCACAGTAATTCAAACCAAGACTTGGCTCATTTCCCATTGTTCCAAGATCTGTCTAACATTACATTAACTTTAAAGAGATACTTTGAGTCTTCAACTCTTAAAAGTGAAGAATTACTCAAACATATATTGCAGAAGCTATAATCTAATCAGAAATATACCGATCTAGATACCCTAATATGCATTGATACACACTTATAATTTAGTTTGCTTTTATCTTCAGACCTTCTCAAAAAAGGCATTTTGACAAATACACCACCTCCTCAGCAGGGAACTAACTCATCTTTGGCTTACAGAGTGGGCCCTGCAGATCGCCAGTGGGTATGCAGATGTCATAAGGCCAAACCCGTTGAGTCAATTTAACCAAACTATTCTTTTTATTTGGGGGGGGCGGGGCACACAGGGGATGTAGTCTCGCTCTGTCACCCAGGCTAGTGTGCAGTGGGGTGATCTTGGCTCACTGCAACCTCCACCTCCTGAGTAGCTGGGACTATAGGTGCACATCGCCACACCCAGCTAATTTTTATATTTTTAGTAGAGAGGGGGTTTCACCATGTTGATCAGCCTGGTCTCGAACCTCTGACCTCATGATCTGCCTGCCTTGGCCTCCCAAAATGCTGAGATTACAGGCGTGAGCCACTTTGCCCAGAAAACAAAACTGTTCTCGTCCCAAACGGAAAGTAAACTCTGTGAACAACTCTTATGTATCCTTTCCACTTTCTAAAGAGTCGCAGAATATTTTTTACATGGACACACACACATATATGTGTGTGTGTATTTTTTTTGGAGACAGGGTCTCACTCTGTTGCCCAGGCTGGAGTGCCGTGGTGTCGTCATAGCTCACTGCAACCTCAAACTCCTGGGGTCAAGCAATCCTCCTACCTCAGCTTCCCCAGTAGCTAGGACTGCAGGCGTAAGCCACTATGCCCAGCCACATGTACATGTCTTTAAACAGTTAGCAATGTCTTCCGACAAAGTTTTCCTTGAAATTATCATTCTGACTCTAAAACAGTCTTCTTCCTTTTTCCTTATCTGGATACTGGACTGGTGCAAAGGCAAATCAAAGATCTTTTATTTATTTATTTTTTTTGAGAGGGAGTCTCACACTGTTGCCCAGGCTGTACTGCAGTGGTGTGTTCTCGGCTCCCTGTAATCTCTGCCTCCCAGGTTCAAGCGATTTTCCTGCCTCCGCCTCCCAAGTAGCTGGGACTACAGGGACCTGCCACCATGCCTGGCTAATTTTTTTTGTTTGTTTTTATTAGAGACCGGGTTTCACCATGTTAGCCAGGATGGTCTCAATCTCCTGACCTCATGATCCACCCGTCTCGGCCTCCCAAAGTGCTGGGATTATAGGCGTGAGCCACTGTGCCCAGCCAAATCAAAGATCTTTACAACTTTTACTCCACAAGAGTAGCTACATTCTTCTGTAAAACTGGAACAGTGTGAAATAAGCAGGCCACCAGATAGATTGGAATTCTGAGATATCTCTCATAGAGGTTTGTGTCACAGCATAATTTGACATTATCCTTCCTCGATCCCTGTCTTTTAAGATCTATAGCCCACAGTTTCTGAGGAATCCTAAGAAATAAGCAGTCCCTACTTTTATTTATACAATATATTTCTTCCTGAACACTACTGCTAAAAGCAAACTGCCATAAGGCCAGATCCTAGGTAAATGTGTTGCTGCCTTCATTAGGCTGAACATCAGCAGAAACTGTCAAATAAGTAGTGAGAAGTAAATGTATCAGTCATTAAAAAAAACATTAAACAAACAGGCAAAATACCAAGATGCAGAAAGTGGGCACTGCTTGTAAAGGAGTTCTTCTATCTTAAAATTTAGCACTGTAAGGATAAAAATCTTTTCAAAAACAAATTCGAAGCAAGCTCTTCTAACAGCCTAATCCCCAAAGGCTATGTGGTCTAAAAACCCACTAGCCCGAAACAGTTGGTTATATATTATACCTTGAAGTCTGTGTTGTTTACGTGTTCAAAAACCAAGGCGGGGGTTCGTGACTGGGGAAAAGAAAAAAACAAAAACACACATTAGCAATAGCTCTGGCAGCTTTAGTGGGCACAATGTTTGTGGATGCTGCATGGTGAATTTGGCAGTCCTCGCCTCAGCAGTAAGAAACCCTCTATTGCTACAAGCCCTCCCCGCTCTGATCATCACCACACTTTGGTCATTTTTGGGATGGATTTCAAACAGAAGACATGGAGCTGAAGTCTCACCAGGCTCTAGGCAGCCCGACAATGCGCCCATCGCCCATCGGCATCGGACCTGAGTTTGCAAAATGGATTAACACATTTCAGTTTCCAGTGCTATCAGTCTCTTAGCCTAGAAGAATAAGAAATAGTCTGTGGGTGGAGGTCTCTTTGAAAGAAAGACCCAAGCTAGTTAAATGGTGTATCTGATTAAGCACTTTCAAAGCAGGACTTAACGATGAGGGTTAGGGAAGGGAACAGAAAGAGGCCAGTTGTGTTCCAGGTGAAACACCTTCTCAGCCCAGGTGGGCCTTGCTAACACCTGCTATACTCACCACAGGGTCTTTTACAATGTCTGCCAGTGTGATGATGTTGGGACCTCCTCTCAAATTCTCCAAAATCTTTATTTCACGCTTAATTTTCTTCTTTTTTACTGGCTGAAAAGGGAAAAGTACATCAGCAAAAACAAAACAAAACAAAACAAAAATTTCAGAGTATTTCGACACGTAGTGTAATACATAAATGGCTTACTTATGGGCTCCTTGAAGGAAGAAAATGTGTCACATTCGTCTCTGAATCCTTCTCCTAGCACTGTGCCAAGTATTCTGCAGGTACTTACAAATGTTGAATTGAAAGAAAAAAAGATTTCCATTCCAAATACCAGACTTCTGCAGAATTAGCATTTCAATTATCAGTCTTGATGTTAATATTTTAAAACATGTTAAACATGTTAATGTCTTAAAACCTTACAAAGTAGCAATTTAAATGGTTAGTAATACTAAATTATAACTTGAAAAACTTTTTATCAATTAGGATGAAACATGGGTCCTTTCCATTTCTTCCTCTAATCAGGCCCAACAACAGGGATGGCCAAAACATCTTCGTGTAGCATAACCCTGAAGGTAAAGTACGGGTCTTGGAGTCACACTGCCCAATGTGAAACCTATCTTCATTACCTGCTAGCTCTAATGGCAAACTACATAACCTCTCTAAGCCTTTCACTAAGTATAAAATGAATAACAAGAGCAACCATCTCATAAGATTCTTGCAAGACTCAAATGAGGTATTTGAAAGACTTCGGAATATGGCTGAAACATAATAACTGTCTAGCCTTATCACCAATACTCTTATAAATGAATCCCTCCATTCTAAAAACACCACTCTACAGAGTATATTTTAAACATTCCTTTGTCCTCACCCATCTAGTATGGAATCCTTTTCATATGTTTTTCTGAGGAGAGCCTTGGTCCAACTATATCTCCTTTATAAAGCCTTCTTTTTTTTTTTGAGACGGAGTCTTGCTCTGTCACTCAGGCTGAAGTGCAGTGGTGCCATCTCAGCTCACTGTAACCTCTGCCCTCTGCCTTTCAGGTTCAAGCAATTCTCCTGCCTCAGCATTCCGAGTAGCTGGGATTACAGGTACCCGCCACCATGCCCAGCTAATTTCTGTATTTTTAGTAGAGACAGGATTTTACCATGTTGGCCAGGCTGGTCTTAAACTTCTGACCTCGGGTGATATACCCACCTTGGCCTCCCAAAGTGTTGGGATTACAGGCGTTAGCCACCACACCTGGCCTTATAAAGCCTTCTTCTGAATAGTCTAAAACAGTGCTGGCCCAAAGGAAATACAATGCAAACTACATGTGTAATTTTCAATGTGTCAGTAGCCACATGAAGAAAATTAAAAAGAAAAAAAGACAAAATTAATGTATTTTAATCTAAAATCTTATTTTAATATATACATCAATATAAAAAATTACTAATCTATTTTACATTTTTTGTATTAAACCTTTAAAAATTTTACCCTTACAGCATGTCTCAATTCAGACCAGCCATATTTCAAGTGCTCAACAGCCTCACGTGGCCTGTGTGCCTGCTATACCGGACTGTGCAGGTCTTTTCCTAGGGTGTTCGTCACTTCGGACTGCTGATGCACTGCATACAACTCTTAGAAGTTAAGTACATTTCATTTCTTCATTAATAAGATTGGTGGTTACTAAAGTTTGATGACCAACAATCACCTGGATTTTTTAAATAGACAGACTCAGGACCCTCCAAGATTTACTAAATCAGAATCTTGATGGGGAAATGGGGGATTTATTTTAGATACTTTTAGAACTGATGATCCAGGTCCAGAAACTACCAAATACTACTATAAATTCTTTTAACTTTGTTTTAAGCCTTAAGCACATGGTAGCAGAAAGGAAGCAGATTTTGGAAACACTGGCAGTTCTCAAAACCTGGCTTTGTAGTTGTACAGTTCAGAAAAGCATTTAAGACCAGGCATGGTAGCTCACAACTGTAATCCCAGCACTTTGGGAGGCCAAGGCAGGCGGATTATGAGGTCAAGAGATCGAGACCATCTGGTCAACATAGTGAAACCCCATCACTACTAAAACACAAAAATTAGCTGGGCATGGTGGTGTGTGCCTGTAGTCCCAGCTAGTCGGGAGGCTGAGGCAGGAGAATTGCTTGCAGCCAGGAGGTGGAGATTGTAGTCAGCTGAGATCCAGCCACTGCACTCCAGCCTGGTGACAGAGTGAGATGTTGTTTTAAAAAAAAAAAAAAAAAAAAAAAAAAAAAAAAAAAGGCATTTAAATGCTTCTCATTGCTGTAAGGGACTATAACTGCCCATAGAAGCTATTTTACTAATGACTTCTATGTAGTCCACATTCAATTAAACCCACAACCTCTTACCCAATACAGTATCTACCTAAGAAACAAGACAATAGTTTTCTCTTCTTGCTTTAACTATTCGGATATTTCAAAACCGTTACGGTATCTGGGAGATCTTTCCAGCCTGCAGAGACTAACCCGTCAGCGCTTACCTCCTGTTTTCTATTAACCCAATTGCTGGGTTTTTTTAGTGGAATAAAATCTTCTGGTTTACAAAACTTTTATTCTACAGAATCCTTCTACTCTATAAACTTAAAAAGCTGGTTTGTGACAGACCAGGCAGCTGACTTGGGCCCTAATCTAATGTGATCAATGCAACTTTTGTCTTATTACATAAGCAGGGAGGGGAGATTAAACATTTTAAATATAGTTTATAATAAAGAAACTTCACCTATACTTACATCGCCTTACAGTAAAATACACAATACAGTTAGAAAAACTCAGCTGAAAAAAATCTTTCTAAATCACCCTTCATTCAAAACTATCAAGCATTCACAATTACCTAGAAAAGACACTCATATAATGTTAAGACTGCAAGGAAATGCAGAGATTACCTTTTCCAGGCCTTCGCCAACCTAAATCTCTCTTTCCAAGTTCAACTCATATATATGGTCACATAACATCTTTCACATGAAATACTTCTCTCACTTTTCCCTTTTCCTCTTTTCTTATCTTGGTGTACTCTACAGGATGCTTCCCTTCACCACTTCCACCCAACGGCTATCTAAATCCTCCTCCTATTTGGCTTGAGAACAGCTCCAAAGAGCTTTTCCTTACTACCCTCTTTTGAAATGTAGACCCGCTATTCATGCCTTTCATGTGGCTCTAAATAATAATATATCACCTCATTTTATCATATACCTTTCCATATGAATATCATCATACAATTACAAAGAACTCTAGTCTCCAAGGTGTACACACACACACACACACACACACACACACACAATTTTGTATTTGATCTTTTTTGTTATTTTGAGACAGGGTCTCACTCCCATAGCCCAGGCTAGGGTGCTAGTGGCTTGATCATAGATCATTGCAACTTTCAACTTCTGGGCTCAAGCAATCCTCCCACTTTAGCCTACTAAATAGCTGGAATTAAAGGCCCGAGTAGCTGGAATTAAAGGCACATGCCACCATGCTCAGTCAACATTCTTTTTAACAGATGAATAAACATGTCCTAGGTTAAAAGGACTACAATGGCTAGTCACCCAAATGTTTTGATTTCCAGCCTAGCTCTCTTTCTAGATACTTCAAGATAGATATAAATACTTAAACTCTTTGGTTCTCAAATGGCATGTGAGGCACCCCAGCGATGCACAGGGGTACTGTGAAATACTTTACATTTTTGTGGAAAACACACCAACCAATTATTGGATCTACCAGACGCTGGGTGCAGTACCAGGTTGAGGTAGGTCGTAGTTTCAACATTAGATTGTATTATACTCCTTGTGAGAGCATATTTTTGTGAAGCTGGGTTTGCAGCAGTTGCTGGTATAAAAAGCAAGTACTGTGCAAAAAATCAGTGATAGGAAATGAGTGTGGTGGTGTCCAATCTGATTCCAACATTTGAAAAGCTGTGCAATAACAGGTGTACATAACCCAATAGTAATAAATTATAGTTATATAAGAATGAAAAATTGATTTTTTTCTTTTAATTTATGTGAATAACTTTTTAAATGGCTAACAAGTTGTTGAAATATATTTAGCGGCTGGGCACGGTGGCTCACAGCTGTAATCTCAGCACTATGGGAGGCAGACGCAAGGTGGATCACCTGACATCAGGAATTGGTTGGAGACCAGCCTGACCAATATGGTAAAACCTCGTCTCTACTAAAATTACAAAAACTAGCAGGGTGTGGTGGTGTACACCTGTAGTCCCAGCTACTCAGGAGGCTGAGGCAGAAGAATCGCATGAATCTGGGAGGTGGAGGTTGCAGTGAGCTGAGATCACGCCACTGCACTCCAGCCTGGGCGACAGAGTGAGACTCCGTCTCAAACAAAGAAACAAACACTTACTTAGCTACTTGGACCTTGCTACTTATTACACAGACCTATGAGGTATTTCTTAGGAGTACCATGAAAAAATTACTAAGACAGTCTAAGTGTTACAAGTTGAGAACATTTGGAAACTTCTACTTTTCAGTGTCAAATATAAAAAAGTTCCTGTGGTAAGGAACTATATGCTAAGCTCCCAATATATGACATTCCACAGCACAGTTATAACTAAATTGAAAGTTGTATATTGGTAGCCTAGAGGCCAAATCTGGCCTGTGCAATGTTTTTTAAAATCTTGAGTCAACACTTAAAAGTCAGGAGAATTCATATACAAAACAAATTACTGGCTTTTCTTTGCAAAACAGAGTATCAAGCAACAATGGACTTGCACTACTGCAGGGCAATAATCAGCTTCAGGTGAGAAGCAGCTAACTCCTTTTGAAGAGTCATGTGTTTCCCAGTTTGTTTCAGTCCTTATCACTCATATCATCTAAGCATGGGCAATTATACCGGATGAGCTGCATTGATACCATCTGTCTGTCCCCCTTAAGTCCTGTGACTCCTCATTCTTACACAGTAGAGGTAATGATTTATTTATTGAAAACAAAAGCCTCATTATATAATTAAAAGTATAGGAAATAACTATTAGGTAAGAACTAGAGAGAAGAGACTGTACTTTTACTCCCTTACTCTGCCACAACCTAGCTATATGAGTCAACTCAAATCACCTCTCTTGCTTCAGTTTCCTGATCTGTCACAAGCATAACTTGTTCTACTGAGTTCACAGGATACAATAAAATTTTATTTACGTATTTACTTTGGCACCAAAAACCTTTTTAATGCCATTTAAAAAAAGTTTTCACAACTATGTTTAAAAATCTATATTCCAAATACCTCTGAAATTATCTCTTGTACTCACCTTGAGAATTTTAACAACAACTTTTTCATTATTTGTGATGTTGATGGCTTCAAATACTTCACTGTATTTACCTCGGCCTAATTTTCGCACCAGCTGGTAGTCATCTTGATTTCTGTGGACAAAAACAGAACGATTTATATAAAGGTCAAATTATCAAGCATCAATTCAACTTTACAGGAATCTATTACCAGCAGGTGTAATAAAACTTATATGTATTTCAAACCATTCCCAAATTGGTTTCATTGTATTTTTTTAATTAGGCCAATTAAAAATGGGTGTTCCAAATCCTAGCATTAGCAAAACTTAAGGCTTTTAATTATTCTTTCAAATTCCAAACTGTTTGCATCTTTATTGGCACATGACATGGAGCTAGCTTATATTAAGGTTTGTTCTAAATATGTTTGTCTCTAACAAGAGACAGCTTTTCCCAAGAGAGTAATTTTTATATATTCTTGCCCCTTAGTACTTGATCCAGTGTTGGCACTTAGCAAGAACTCAAAACATTTTCCAAGACTGTTTCAATCTAGCCATGCTTTGGCAACAGCTGATTTTTAACAGGCCTCTTTGCAGGTAAGCGGCTTTCAAATATACAGGCTTAATCTATTTGCCCTCCAGGGCAAGCTCTGGGGACAGTCCATGTGTAGTAAAGTTTACAAAGCACACTATAGATTGTAAACTATAGTCAGTGGTCCCTTCCTCTACTTATACCTGTATTCTGCAACCAATAAGCAACATCAAAGACAATAAACAGAGGTAGAATAAGGGAAATAAAAACAATATCCTCCTGCCCCTGCCGGCTTCCAACGTAGAGGACTTTAAAGAATGACAAACATGGTTTCATTAAGGCCTAGGTTCTATCTACTCCTCCTGGAGCTACTAACAATCCAATATGAACCAAATCAACCATATCAACCATTCATTTTTCCTCAAGTAGTTAAAAAGAAAGTGAATGGAAAGACAAAAGGTACTAAAAACAACGGACAGTGTAATAATCACAGCAAGTCTAGGGGACGAAAGCTCCTACTTCTGGCTGAGTTCTCTTCCTATAGGAGGGCATACAAAACAAATGTAAGCAAGCAAACAGCGCACTGTGTCAAAGGCCCAAAAAGGCTCTTTAGTGCCATGTAAGCAGAACCAAATGCAAAGCACTCAATTTGAACACAGTAGTTGAAATTTCTGTAACAAACACAGTATTACCTAGAATCCAAAGCCCGTGATGTAAGAGGAAAATTGTTAGATTATCAATAGTAACATTTATTGGTATTGAACCACACTGGCACTTAATGGTGTCTTTATAGCACACAGTGCCTCTTCACTCAGAAGCAATATATTTACTGTTAAGAACCATGGCATACTCAATCTAGCCGGGTGTGGTGGCAGGTACCTGTAACCCCAACTACTTGGAAGGCTGAGGTGGGCGAATCGCTTGAATCCGGGAGGAGGAAGTTTCAGTGAGAAGAGGTCGTGCCACTGCAATCCAGCCAGGGTGACAGACCAAGACTTGTCCACACACGCACACACACACACACGAATCTCAGCATACTCAAGATTAAAAATACATCCTATGACAATTTAGGGAAGCAGTTACTAACCACTTACAGGTTATGGAAATCACACCCAGTCAGATATAAAACAGCATACAGGAGCTATAGCTTTATGAGTTTTCAAATTGCTTTCTTTTGCACTTTAATGTCAAAATGCTTTTATCACAAAATTATGATCTGACCAATTAAATGTCTACCACATTGGGGCAGGAAATGCAAACATCCAAATGAATTTACACAGAGAATCAGGAGGGCAAACACAGCTGTTCAGGCAGACTACAACGTTCAAGATACAATTTGGGCTGAATTCCATTGTTAAGACATGCCTAGTCTCAGGATAAGGGCAAATGTTTAAGGATTTAATTTTGCTTCTCAACAGAAAGAAGTTATCTTTCTGGAGAACTGTTTCATCCTTCTGTATCAACATGAAACAACATTTTCTACCTCAAAAATACTTTTTGTAAGAATTTGGTGTTTTCCAAGTCTCTCAAGTATCAATTCTCACTGATCTGCAATGCCCTTTGCTTGCTAAGCAAGCTGATAGGTAACTTTTTGTTGCCAGGTCCCTGTACAGAATAGTGTCATGTGTTATATTTAATGACATTCTGAGAAATGTGTTGAACATCAGAGTATTTACACAAACTTACTTGGTATAGCATACTACACACCTAAGTTATAGCCTACTACTCCTAGGAGACAAATGTGTACAGCATGCTACCGTACTAAATACTGTAGGCAATTGTAACACAATGGTATTTGTGTATCTAAACACAGAAAAGGTAAAGAATGCATTGTTGATGTTAAGATGACATTACCAGGCCACAGACATTTTTCAGCTCTCTTATAGTCTTATGGAACCACTGTCCTACATGTGGTCTGTCATGAATTCAAACGCGGTTATGTGGTGCATGACTGCATATAAATCAGAGAAAAGGATAAGAAACTAAGATGACTTTTAAATGGTAAGCCCATTACAATTGTTCATTTGCCAAAGCAATATTCTGCTTCTTCACTGCAAAACCACATTTTCAGCTCAAAAGAAAAAAACACAAATTGGGCTTTGATCTTGAGGTATATGGATAGAGAGTCCTGGAGGTTTTCTGACAAAAATTACTCAACAGATCAACAAGAGTCAGCCCTTTGAGTGAGTATAATGAAGTCAACAAAAACAATTACCCCCATTCCACCACATGTGACTCGTAATCCCAGTATTCTCGAGGTCTGTGTGTATTAACATCTGTGTAAACTCTGGCCCTGCTTGGCACGGGTCCCGACATGTCAGACAGGTTGGCAGACAAAGCTGGACTTGATGTTTGGAGATCTGGCAGTCACTGTGTTCAGAGGCAGCTGGGGGTAAGACCTTGTTTCAGACCTGTTTTCTTCAAACTGCAGAAACAAAATGCACAAAGGCCAAGGAATCATTTACAGAAAGTATATGGGAAGGAAATAATCTTACAAATAATAATGGCCTGAAATATACCTCTGGCTCTCCTACTTATAACCAATAAATATATCTCAACTGTGTCAACGACTGCTTCCTATGACATTAGAAAAAAATACCAAGAAATATACTAAACTGATATTTGCTTGAATTGTATTCTGCCAAGGATCCTGTTACCTCTGCATGCAAAGTTAGAATGATTTTTGTAAGGTAGCCTGGAAGGGAAAAATGGCACTATTTATATATTCTACAAAAGGTATTAGCAGAAAAGTACTTTCCTTTCAGCAGCTTTCTGTAACTTAAGTAGAGGTGCTAAAAGGTTCTAGAATGGCGGCAAAGCTGAGAGTACAAATTGTCAGTCTGACTCATATTTGATGAAATCAGGAAGAGAATAAAGACTTGTTCTCATACATCAAAGTTCCACGTCATCTTATATCGATCCAAATCTTTTGGGGAACCTTATGGTAATAATCAGTAGACCGTTGATCATCATTTGAAAGACATACTTGATTTCATTAAATTTAAAAACAGAAATCAGTAATCTTCTCTTTATATTTAATGCTGGAGCTTAAAAACTGGTATAAAACAGTAATACAGATTAGCTGAGCTAACGCAAAATTTGACACTGGGGGAAATAAGTAAAATTTTAGAAACATGCTATCAAATCAGGTTCCTTTCCAATTGACTATTCTGGTCTCTTTATCTGTTTTCTGTAATTCCTACAGCATTTGCTGATTCCCTTCATTATGCATTTAACTGAAGCTGTATTGAGTCGGCCCTGCACGGTGGCTCATGCCTACAATCCCAGCACTCTGGGAGGCCGAGGCAGGGGGATGACTTGAGGTTGGGAGTTTGAGACCAGCCTGGCCAACATGGTGAAACCCCGTCTCTACTAAAAATAAAAACAATTAGCTGGGCATGGTGGCGCATGCCTGTAATCCAAGCTACTCAGGAGGCTGAGGTTGCCGTGAGCCAAGATCGAGCCATTGCACTCCAGCCTGGGCAACAAGAGCAAAACTCCATCTCCAAAAAAAAAAAAAAAAAAAAGAAAAAAAAAGAAAAAAACAAAAAAAAAAAAAAAAAAAAAAAAAAAAAGAAAAGGAAAAGAAAAAGAAAAAGAAGAAGAAGAAAAGAAATTATATTGAGTCTCCAGTTGTGATAACCTGAGAAGGACACAACACTTAGCAGTTTCCTGGCTGAAATTGCATAACTTCAATCCGTATATGTGTGCATATGTATGTATGTATGTATATTAAGACAGGGTCTTCCCAGGCCACAGTGCAGTGGTGTGATCATGGCTCACTGAAACTTCGACTTCCTGGGCTCAGATGATTCTCCCACCTCAGCCTCCCAGGTAGCTGGGATGACAAGTACACGCCACCACACTCACCTAATTTTTTGTATTTTCAGTAGAGGCCGGGTTTCACCATGTTGCCCATGCTGGTCTTGAACTCCTAGGCTCAAGCAATCCTCCCACCTCAGCCTCCCAAAGTGCTGGGATTACAGATGTAAGCCACCATGCCCAGTCATAACTTCAATTCAATTACTAGGAAACATTCAGAAAAAGAGGAAGTGTCTACTTTAAAAGGGGGAAGGGGTACTACACTCCTAAAACATGTTCATATCATAAAAGACAAATGGAGGCTAAACACACATTGCATAAATGCAAAAATACTCTATTCCAGACTGTATCCTGTCCTGCAGGAGGTGGGGGTGGGGATGCTATAAAAAACAATAGACAGAACTGGAATTTAATGGTATTAAATTATTGTAAATTTGTGAAGTTGGTATATAATCACAATAGGTAAGAGAATATATCTATTCTTAAGAAATTTTCCTAAATTAGAAGTAAACAGCCAGGATGCATATAATCTACCCTAAAATGGTTCGGAAAAAAAATGTGGCCACAAGTGTTTACATGTGTATACATAGAGCACACATGAGAGCACACTCACAAATGATAAAACAAGTTGGGTAAAATATTACAATAGATAAATTTGGGCAAAGGGGATAGAGATGCCCTTTGTACTATTTTTATTTTTTGTTGAAACTTTTTTGTTTGAGACAAGGTCTCACTCTGTAGCTCACACTAGAGTGCAGTGGTGTGATGACAGCTCACTGCAGCCTTGACCTCCCAGGCTCAAGCAATCCTCCCACCTCTGCCTCCCAAGTAGTTAGAACCACAGGCATGGTAGCCCACGCCTGGCTAATTTAAAAAAATATTTTTTTGTAAAGATGGGATCTCCCTATGTTGCCCTGGCTGGTCTCAAAATCCTGGGTTCAAGTGATTCTCCCACCTCAGCCTCCCAAAGTACAGTGATTACAGGAGTGAGCCACCATGCCTGGCTTGTTGAAACATTTTTAAAAATTGTGGTCAAAAAAAAAATTGTGGTAAAATATACATAATATAAACTTTATGGCCAGGCACAGTGGCTCACTTTGGGAGGCCGAAGAGGGTGGATCACTTGAACCCAGGGGTTCACAACCAGTCTGGGCAACATGGCAAAACTCCGTCTCTACTGAAAATACAAAAAATTACCCAGGCGTTGTGGTGTGTGCCTGTGGTCCCAGCTACCTGGGAGGCTGAGGTGGGAGAATCACTTGAGCCCAGAAAGTTGAGGCTACAGTGAGCTATGATTGCACCACTGCACTCCAGCCTGGGCAACAGCAGTGAGACCTCATCTAAAAAAAATAAAATTACACGTTATCCACATTTAAACATAAAGTTCAGTTGCATTATGTATATTCATATTCTTGTGCAATTATCACCAGATCTTCCATTTCTATAAATTTTTAGCATCCCAAACTAAAACTACATATCCACTAAACACTAATTTTCCCTCCCCCTAACTCTTTGCAATCACTATTCTATTTTCTGTCTGAGTTGACTATTCTAGAAACCTCACATAAATGGAATCAGACAATATTTTTCTTTTGTTTCGCTTATTTAATTTAGCGTAATGTCTTCAAGGTTCATCCATATTATAGCATGTTAGAATTCCAGTCCTTTTAAAGGCTGAATGGTAATGCACCATATATATACACACATATATACATATACGTATATATATATGTGTACACACACACACACATACACATCCACACCCCACATTTTGCTTATCCATTTATCTGCTGCTGGACACTTGGGTTGCTTCCAGTTTGGCTACTGTAAATAACGCTGCTATGGATATAGGTGTACAAATATCTGTTTGAGGTCCTGCTTTCAAATCTTTTAGGTATATATCCAGAAGTGGAATTGCTAGACCATGTAGTGATTCTATGTTTAATTTTTTGAGGAACCAGCATATTGTTTTCCACAGCAACTCTATCATTTTACACTCTCACCAACAGGTTACAACTTCTCTATATCCTTACCAACATTTATTATTGTCTGTTTTTTGCTTGTTCGTTGATGAAGTCTTACTCTGTTGCCAGGCTGGAGTGCAGTGGCACAATCTTGGCTCACTGTAAGCTCTATCTCCCAGGTTCATTCAAGTGATTCTCCTGCCTCAACCTCCCAAGTAGCTGGGATTACAGGCATGTGCCACCATGCCTAGCTAATTTTTATATTTTTAGTAGAGATGGGGTTTCACCATGTTGGTCAGATGGTCTCAATCTCTTGACCTTGTGATACACCTACTTTGGCCTCCCAAAGTGCTGGGATTACAGGTGCAAGCCACCGCGCCCGCCTGTTTGTTTTATAGAGCCAGGGGTCTTGCTTATGCCCAACCTGTTCTTGAACTCCTGGCCTTCTACCTTGGCCTCCCAAAGTGTTCTCAAAATAGGCTGTGCCTGCCCTATTTTCTGGTTTTCTTTTCTTCTTCCTCTTTTTTTTAGTAACAGCCATCTTAATGAGTATGAAGTGGTATCCCACTGATTGTGATTTTAATTTGCATTTCCCTAATGATTAATGATATTGAACAACTTTTCTTTTTTTTTTTTTTTTGGGATGGAGTTTCACTCATGTTACCCAGGCTGGAGTGCAATGGCGCAATCTCGGCTCACCGCAACCTCCACCTCCTGGGTTCAGGCAATTCTTCTGCCTCAGCCTCCTGAGTAGCTAGGATTACAGGCACGCATCACCATGCCCAGCTAATTTTTTGTATTTTTAGTAGAGACGGGGTTTCACCATGTTGACCAGGATGGTCTCGATCTCTTGACCTCGTGATCCACCCGCCTCGGCCTCCCAAAGTGCTGGGATTACAGGCTTGAGCCACCGCGCCCGGCTGAACAACTTTTCATGTGCTTATTGGCCATTTGTATATCTTCTCTGGAGAAATGGCTATTCAAAGCCTTTGTCTATTTTTTGGTTGGGTTATTTTGTTTGCTGACGATGCATCTGTTATCATATCTATACTATTTTTATTTTTGTTGCTTATAAACTGCTCCTCTTTCCAAGGCTGTATTTAAGCTGTAACTTAGCTACCACACCCAAAGAGAAGCCAGAAATGATATCTGCTTATGCCCATGGTGTCAGTAGCTAAGGGCTTTCAGAAGAATAGCAAGAGACTGCAATGGAGATTAATTTTGTATTCCTTAACTGTGACAAACACAATTAATGATACTCCAATCCAAATACATGAGATCAAACGATTCACATGCTGACTTATGAATTCTCCAACCCAAACAACTCCTGTAACTTGCCTCTGTTCAACTCCAACCTTCTGAGGTTCCATAAATGTACTAATGACCAGAAAACAACAGTCATTCGAGTACCAAGTCTTTAAAATAATTTCTAATTATTTCTTTGGTTTTATAAAACCTGGGTGACATTAATCTAATTTATTTTCACTTAAAATCAGTTAAAAGTATAAACACACACATACACGCAAAAAAAAAAAAAAAAAAAAAACCAAATGTTTTCTTATAATTTTTCTTCTTCCCAAAGAAACAAGGTCACGTATGTTGTAGGATTAGTGACTTTCCGTGACTACTATGCCTGCAT